GCAAGACACTTTACAGTTCCAACACATAATGTCCGAAATTTGACGACAGTTCCAATATTATATAGAAATGTTTCCCAGAGGACCTTTTAGAGTGAGCTTAAAACATAGCTGGTAGTATTTATTAGTCACAAAAAGGTTGTCCATGATACATATTCTTATACAACACAGGCCTCAGGATCCCAAAACAATGCTGTCTGAAAACAAACATTATTTTAATTTATTTTAGCTATATCAATCCTTTCTGTATTAATCCAAATCAGGTAGATACCTAGGATGAGGTCCATAGTACATCATCAGTTACAGCAGCTATTCCCTCTGAACCACCATTTTCCTCCAACCGTTTTTGGTATCCCCAAAGTTTGGATGAAAACTGGTGTTGGCCTGCCTGTCAGAAAGGATCTACATGAAGAGCTTAGAGAAGTTTAATAAACTGAAAACAATAATTTAGACTGAAAAGATACATCTTCAAAATATTGCCGCTCCTTAAATTGATGCCGTTTCCCCTAGATCTCCCAGATTATTTGAAATTGAGAGCAACACTGCAGTCTTAGAGAAACTGTCTATATCCAATCTAGTTAGCAAAAGAGGATTACACAGAGACTTGGCATTTCTGCAGTCTTATTTTCATCCATAAAGATGAATGCAAGGTTTAAAAAGGCTTTGAGAACCAGTCTAACCACTGATATGCAAACCCTGTATGTCACCTACTATTCTATACAAGTACTTTTTAGATAGCTGTTGAACTCATGCTAAACCTAAGTAGCAACCTCCAATTTTACGATTGCTATTGCTTTTGCTTGATATCTGTACTCTTCAACAAACGGTCTAGAATTCCAACAATAAAGTTACCTTTCTCCTGCAGATTAATAATGTTATTGGTGGGTTGCTCTTATTTTTTTTTTTCTATTTTTTCTTTTTTCTTTTTCTTTTTTTTTTCTTTTATTTTTATAAAACACATCCAGTCAGGAAACCATTAGGTTGTTTTGTTGCTGGCATGGTGATAGTGTTTCTGTCTTCCAAAGAAATATGCAGGTATATGAAGTGAACACAGTTTCATGCTAATTTGTGGCTTGGGAATCTGGTCAGCTAAGCAGGACATCCTTTGGAAATTTCTCAGCTCAACTCCCTGCCAAATAACTGTGTTCCAGCTCACGTTTCCCTCTACCATTTGGGAATGTCTTCCAGGACACCCAGAGATGCACAGCCATGCCTGTGAGATAGGAGCTTTATCTTCCCCAGTGCCTGGCAAACAGATTATACAGTTTGGATGCTACTTAAATAGGAAGAGTAAACCCTACCATTGCTATTACTTTTGGTTAGACAGAATGGGAAATTGTGTCCTATAAATTTTTCTTGGCAGCCTATAATATTTATTTACATAACAAGTGGTAGAAGATCCCAGCGCAAAGATCCCATTTGAAAATGAAGTAATTTGTCAACATTTCTTTTTTCACTCATTTCAATTTGCATGCAAGGATACTAAGTTTTATCTCTGGCTGTGCTACAGGGCTATAGTTTATTCACAGCAGGAAAGATAGCAAATATAAACAGCAAGCTAATGGACTGAACCGCTATCTAGCTGCAGCTAAAGCATAGCTAAGTAAGATTGGTGTTACAGTACAGTAGCTGCAACAAACAAATCAATATGTGTCCTTCAGATTATAGCTTATTCGGTTCATGTGTATTATAAAATTTGAACTTCAAGTATGCATTTTGAAAATGCATTTGACAGAATTTATGTCTGATTCTTTCCAAGGTATGTATGGAAATGTTGTTTCAAATTAATTGAAGTTTATTTAATTGAGTTCAAACTGTGAAAATGACAATGCTGACAGCTCAATAAGGGTTCATCTCCCAGAATCCTACAATGCTAGAGGGGAGATAGAGAAATTTTTAAGGTGCCGTTCACTTGGCATAATTCAGAGGTCTACTTATGGGCATGGGGAATGGCACCTGGAAGGAGCAGTTTCCCTCCATTGACTGCAAAAGAAGAGCGAGACAAGCTCAGAAGTAGAGGCCTACATTTCTGATGCATTTACAACTGGAAAGATAATAACTTGAAACAGCGTGGCAAAGTGATTACTTAACCTAGCTTGTCTTTGTTAGGTCAACCAACTGGCTGGCCCTTACCTTCAAAACATTTGTGTAAGGTTTCTCAAGCAGCCTCCATACTCAGAAAGTAATGGCTGCATCATTGGAACATGATGTCTGCTGCCCCGTATTCTGATGACAGCAATACAGAGAAATGCATTCCTTCTTCAAACTTACAGGAAATTTTTCACAGATTTAGTAATGACAAAATATCTGGGAAAAAAATGAACAAGAAAGCCGTTTTCTTTTCTGAGATGCCAACTTCTTTTATCCCTGCATGTGAAAGCCAAATGATTTGTTTGCATGTGATCATATATTCTGTAAGAGTGCAGCAAATCCTCAACAATGTCCTCAGATAAATTTTTACATGATCAGACAGGATGTATAGTATTACATTTTTTTTTCCTACAGATATATAACTTATTATTAACTGGAGTATAAAAGTGCTTCTACAAGAACTGTTTTGAGCTGGAGTTATTGACTATTTTGCAGTCCAAAAGCAATGAAAAATCACCAAGTCTGTTCGATTGCCTTAGTTGTTAAAATGACATTTTATGAGTGAGATAGCCAGCTAACTATTGATAAGCCTGGGCATCTTGTTACCTCATGTGAGCTGTCATGACAGCTACATATTTTGTATTATTTACACTGCTAAAACGGTGAACAGATGAAATGGGCTGGTAGCAGGCACTGGTCACTTGAAATCTCTGTTCTGTCTTTGGGAAGATGAAAATACATGAAAATAAAAATCCTGAATTTCAAAAAGCTTGTATCAGGATCCTGAGTTGGCACATGAAGTTGTCCAAGTACTTCAAGAAGTACATTGCCTCCATCCTTTCTGTTAAATCAGAAGTTAAAGGAAATAAAACTCTTCTATTGCTCTGAAATTCATCATGGTTCTCCTCCCATGAGGAGGATCTCTGAGTAGACCTAGGGCAATGATGGTGGATAAAAAATACCTAGAATTAGAGGAGTAGGCTTCAAAATCCAGATCTTACGGAACTGAAATGTCAATTGTGAAGGAAAATCAGGAACTGGCAAATCACATTAAATATGCACACCAAATCTTGGATCAAATCAATTACCTGGCTAATAACAAAGGCAGATCAACAATCATCACAGCAGATGTGTGGTAGAAATTTTGGTACTTTCTGACTTATGTCTCTAGGTAGTTCTGTATTAGGAATGAAATGACTTTCTGTATTGTAATTCAGACTTTTCAGCTTGTGCTTGGAGCATAAGCTCCTGAAGATCTCCATACATGGTAGCAAGAAATTCAGACGTTCATTTTCTACATTGAGGACGTTTGTTCACAAGCATAAATCTGGAAGTCCAGTTCAAACCACTATGCCTTCCTGACAGTGCATGTTAATTCCCGTTCGGAAGCCTACAGGAAATTCTTCTGGCCGTAGAAGTCTGAGTTTCTGAGCACTTGTCTCTGAGATGCTTTCCGCGGTATTAGAGCTCTCTCAGCCTCTTACTTCTGGCACATCTCTTGACTCATAGTGGAGTATATACAGAAGACTTGGAAGTGTTAACAAGTTCTTTGATGTAGCGCCATAGCAATTTAATTATTTACTCCAGTGCTGCCTCAGCTATCCTGAACTTGAGAAATCAGATCGGATGCAAGATTTTAGCTGTTACTTACATAACCAGAAATGATGTGGAATTAAATTGCTCAGGAAATTTGCTCTCTCTCCATCATGTGGTGATTTGAAGCACTTGAGCTGAAGTTATTTTCCATGGCACAGTATCCTCCATGAGTGACTGCTGGGCTGGGAGCTTTCCTACCTTGTCTCTGCATTTCCAATCTCCAAAGAATTTAAGGCACTGTAAAGCACTTATCCCCCCTGATACCCCACACCCCTCATCCTGTACCCAAGGAGGAAGTGACCTGAAGTATGGATCAGATTTTTGGCAAGTCCTTACTCTTGCAATTCACTTTTAAAGCTGTGGGATGCCTGCCCAGAACATTAGATATTCAGAGCTGCTGTTGTACAAGACAACGAACAGATAGCTTTAAGCTATGTCTCCCAGCGCATTTCTTGTGAGACCTCAGGACCTTTATTCTGTCTTTCTTGATCTCTTCTGCTTTTGAAAAAGTCATTTGAAAAATCTTCCCTTGTTGATTTTCTGTGGGATCTTCAGAAGATTATAGCGGACGGAGAAATACAAATGTCAATGTGAGAAAACAGTATGACTACAATTCATCAGCACTCAGGGACGTAACAGTAAGGTTGCCCACTGAATCCCTTTGTTTCTCTTTTTCCTTAAATGATGTATTTTTAAGCAGAGAAGTTATTAACTTTGCCTTCCATATAACCAGCCTTGTATATTTTTCTCACCTGATGCATGCTGATTATTGGAAGTCTCACACTACCTTCCTTGATGTAAGGGATTTGAGCTCCCCATATGAACAGGGCATCTTTCCTTGTTAATCTACTCAAATCATCATTAAGTTTCCAAATCTTATTGCCTGTTTTGCTATCTCTTACTGTTTCTCAGCACTGAACTGAAGCTTCCTCTCTTTCCTCGTCAACAACCAGAGACATAAAGAATTCTCTACATCCTTTCTTTGCTTCCCCCAATTTAATTTCACTGCTCCATCAAATTTATCTTCATTCACTTTTTGCAGAAAATGCTCAGTACCTTGTGTTATACGGTATATGCAGAGACAGACCTCTGGAAGTTGTCTGCCTCATTAACTTCCAAAATCTATAAGACACAAGGTAGTTGCAGAAACATACCTAGGAACAGAGCTTTTCCAACTGCACTTGCTCTTGTGATATAGGGTTATGGGACCATAAAAAAAAAAAAAAAAAAAAAAAAGCGAACACACCAAAAACACACTTTGATGTATTATGCAATGTACTTGATGAAAACAATAAAAAAAAGCTTTCCACTCTATATAGCACTTCATAAATATGCATTTATTTCCTCATCTTTCATCAGTTTTACAGTTTTAACCAGTGCCTCAGTGTTAATAATTGTCAGAAGCATATAATGGAACTTCAGACAGTTTTATTCTATAGTCCTGAAGTTAAAAACAAATTAATGGGCCTTTCCATATGGAACTGAGCCAAAAAAAAAAAAAAAAAAAAGCAACAAATTTCTTATACCGTATTAGTTACATAAGATTTCAAACTAACATTTCTATCCTATCGCATGTATTGTATTTACATATTGGAGTAATTTGTTTACTATTTACATATTTCAAATACTGTAGTCATAAATCTGTTTATATTGTACATTCCCGCTTAAATTCTTATTACAGAAATTCTTTAGCACACACTTTAGACACTACAGTTTTAATATTTCACATCAGTTTTAGGAAATTACTGCCTGGTTTCACTAATGATGTGTCAAGATGCCTCCTTCATAAGAAAATACATATTACAAAGGAATTTAATAATATTCGGAATCTTTTGAATTTTGAAAAGAATAAGTTCATGGGATGTAATAATCAGGAAGTTATTTCCTTTTCTATGTAATATTATGTTTGGAATGACATTTTACCTGAGATGTACAATCGTTAAATGTAAGGTTGTTGTTTGCTTTTGTTTTGGCTTGGTTTTAATAAAATGAAATATTTTATGTATATTTATGTAAAGTATTCATGTAATGTAATAAAAATTTTGAAAATTTTACATAAATGTTTGCCTTCTTTTTACTGAAAACTATTCCTGTCTGTATAGATATATAAATGTTATTTATATATCTATACCTCGTTTTCCAGAAAATTCTGTCTCTATATAAATAATCATTGTTACTATATTAGGAAACTTCCCACTATCCTTAAAAAGCAATGTGCTCAAGTACAATATTCAACTTCTGACACAGACACAAGAGTAAATGTGACCTCTGATGGTAATACTTTCTTCCAAGGGAAGTAAGAGGTACCTGTTGAATTTGGAAGACATGGCAGACAACTTATGTGGACCCAATGAAGAAAATTCTATATATCCAGTCCCAAAAATGTTATGCAGAAGCATCTGACACAGCAGACAACTTTGGGTCAACTTTCCATGTTACATGTAACTACCTAAATAACATCTTAATTAAAAAATAATTATTATTATAGAAATCCATTACAACATTGTACATTTAATGCTGTGTGTCTTCTCTCAAGTTACAATAATATGCATTTCTATTAACAAATTACTGTAAATACTAAGTCTAAAGCAAATGTTCATAAAGTTCAGGTTTCTTTTATTCTGTTATTGGTAGATATTCTGTTAGGCACAATATGACATTCTTTGTAAACATAAAGATAAACCATGATACATTAGAGCATGAACTTATAGAAAACAATATACAGATATTTATGAAACACAGATCCACTATACACTCTAGACACAAATGCAGCAACCTAGGAGGCTTGAACTTGAAGACATCAAAACTGAGAACCCCAGCTGATGTCAGTGGAACAGAAATGCATCCTAGTCAGAAAACCCTCCTGCTTCTGAATTAATTTGTTTCTCTCTCTTCTACCACTTATTTCATATAATTTTAAAATATAGATCTCATAATCACGTTGGTAAAAATGTATTTTCTTCTATTTACCCTGAAACACCTAATTACTTATTATAAAGTTGGTGTCATGAACTAATATGTCTAGAAAGCTTTCCTCAAAACGTATATTTACATATTTTTAAGAACTTTAAAACAATCTTCCAATAACAAGTCATAAGAGAAAACCTCTTGAAAATCTTTTACTTTCCAAAATTAAAAGTGCACTACACTTTTTGTGTGACATCATGCAACTCTAGAACTGAACTGGTGAATGACTATTCCGAGCTTCCGGTATATTGCTTATTGCACCTCTGACCCTCAATAACCGTATGTGTGGGGCAGGCACAAATTAACATAGGTTTATTTACATCTAATAGAGCAACATCAGAATTATTATCTGAAAAAAAATATTGAAAATAAATAGTGCACTTAAATTATGTAAGTTTTAAGAAATTATTCAGAATCCCATACTTACATGAAGAAACATTGATTTCATTCTATAAAGTCAGAGAGGATTTTTATTCTGCTAATGATGCAGAAGTATCTGAGTGTATAGTTACTGTTATTGGGAACTGTCTTCTCCCTTCCTCTGAATAGTAAGAAAAAAGGTCTTAAACTATTTAACAAATAAGCTTTGGACAGATATATTAATTTTCCTTTTCTAACATGCTAGAAATGGAGAATAAGGCAACAACTGAGAAACAAAATATATCTTGCTTTGTAAACCAAGCTTCTTAATGTGATTCTTAAAAGTGAACTTTCATGATAAAAAATTGAAAGGCTTGAAAGAAAGGCTTTATTTTAACAAGACCACATCTTCCATTTCATTCAATATTTTAAAAACACTCCAAAATAATATAAAGTGGGATTTATTTTAGTGCTACAGATGAGTCTTAGGTATTAAGTCAGTTCTTTGTAGGGCTAAAAATCATCTACAACACCCTACAATAATGAATTGTGTTTAGAAAATACCACCAATTTCCACTGCAAACTTACTTTCTTATATTATTGCATTCTAACCTCATTCCATGGAAAAAATAAAACATGGTGTGAGAACATCAGCATCTTCTGAGTTATAACCAGACCTCAAAACACAGGTCTTGCTATCTCAGATGGTCTTTATGACCGTGAAGAGTTTTGTTTTTTTTTTATCTAAAGCAAGTAATTCAAACTGGCTGATAGTAATGTCAATGAAGTAGTCACAAAATCATTCCTTAAGGAAGTTTTAAAACTCAGGTACATACAAGAATTGCTCAAATCATAATTGCGGAAGGGGAAAAAAGACAATTATGTGATAGACATTTGAATTCATTTTTCATGCTGAGCGAAAAAGTTCACTTTTAAGTTCATTCATTACTCAATATCCTTCTTTGTCCATTTCTTTGGTATTCTCTTCTCATTTTGCAAGTTCTAACAGAATTTTAATGGTCATCTTCATTCAAACAAAAGAGCAATGAGCTGAAATCACAACCAAAACAACAGATGCCATAATACTGCAGAACACATTGGTCTTAATAATTTCTGGCTCTTTATATTCATTTCTTGTAATGATTGGGAGCATCTGCAAATGCAAATTTGAGTCTGTAGGCTTCTGCTAGGAGTACACTGATTTCTTCATTTCCCCAGTGTACTGTGGGCAAATTCTGTAAAAATATCAGCAATTCCTAGTTGGAGAGAGAGAGAGAAAAAAATAATTAATATATATATTCAAATATCAGTGTAATAGCAATGTAATATAGAATGATAACTTATAAGCAATCATTTAAGTCAGTACCCCATACAAACCTGAGATCCCCTTAGGTTAAGTGATTTTCTTGCAACTTGCTAAAGTTACAAGTTATATATGAATTATGGCTATTTTTTAGTATTTATAAAAATAAAAAAATAAGGAGAATGAACTCACTTGTTTTCTACATACTAACAGCTTTATTATGCATAACAGCTAATTATGTATATGTTTGCACAAATACATTTGTTAAGGTTTATTTTAAAGAGGAGGAATGAGTAAACAGGAATGCAATTAAGAACACAACCCTTATCCCGCTATATATCAGAATCCTGGAACATCATATATAAGCACACAGTCAAATCCTTTTCATAAGGGTCTTATTTTCCTTGTCTTGCTCCCGCTTCTCCCTCCTATGTGACTGCTTTCAGGAAGTGTGGCTGCAGAGCCCTTACCATGAGATTTCAGGCAATAGTGAGAAATATAAATGAACACAACACTTTTTCTTTTTTTATTTTTTTTGCAAGGCAACTATTTTAGCTTCACCTATTGCATGGCCTTGATAGATGGGTTCTTGTAAGATAAAACAAGAAAGAAAAGAAGTCGAGCAGTGCTGTATATTTAATTACGAATAATAAGTACCAATAAAACAGAGTTAGCATGGGAATGTTTGTACTACACTTGAGAGAGCACATATTTTTAAATAAAGTATTATACAATTGCCAAAAGCACGCTTAAAAAAAAATCTGTCTACTTTTCTGACAGTTATGCTGATAACCGTAATTAACAAATTTGCAGTGAAGAGTAAGAAGGTTGCATATAGAGATGACAAATGCCTACCTCCATGAAAGGTTGTTTTTTGTTTTAATTTACCAAAGTAACTTTCAACCAGCTCAAAGACACAGTAGATAGTTACATGAATTTTGTGAAATTAGCTGTTCTCATGTTTGCAGTGCCAAGACTTTGCCTGGTCATACCGCTGGTACAAATGCGGTACCACCCAGAGGATGGTCGGGCACTGGGACAGGCTCCCCAGGGCAGCAGTCACAGCACTGAGCCTGACGAAGTTCAAGAAGCATTTGGACAACGCTCTCAGACACATGGTCTGATTTTGGGGTGATCCTTTGGGGACCCAGCAGTTGGACTCGATACTTGTGGATCCCTTCCAATTCAGGATATTGTATGACTATGAAATGATTCATGCTGCTTGAGTAGTGTTTTGATATTCCTTTGGGCTACTGTGCAAATAAATTTAGGCCTAACCAATCCTTCATCCAATGGACCTTTCCAGGACCGCTTAGATTCATATTGTTAGGGTTGGAAAACCCCTCCAAGATATCTGCTCCAGCCATACCCCTATCACCGACGTCACCCACTAACCCATGTCCCCAAGCACCATGTCCAACCTCTCCTTGAACACCCCCAGGGACGGTGACTCCACCACCTCCCTGGGCAACCCGTCCCAGTGCCTGACTGCTCTTTCTGAGCAGAAATGGCTCCTCACCTAATTGGATGTTGCAAACAGCACCTGCTTGTATAGAAGGTACTATTAAACTATTCAACAGCTAATTAACTAAAGCTACCGTTTCAGCACTGAAATTAGAATTTTACCTTGTTAACACATTTGATCAGTTGTTTCTGTGGCAATTGTGCATGCTTTTCAAACTGGAAAATGTTGCTACAGATTTGTGAAAGACTGATATAGCTTGTAGATAATGAATTCTGCTTATATATTCAGTTTTGAACGTAAGGTGATCATACTGGATATGCGTATCAAAAAATTATTACAGTACTATCATTTAATTTCTTAAAACATTCTACATAGCAGCCTTTTTTGCAAACAGCTGACTGTCTGGTATTTGGAAATAAAAAAGACAAAGGAAATACAGTAACAGTCATCCATATTTATTTTGTTACATTTACCTGCCCAAAGCACTGAAGGTACATTATCTAACAAAACAAACCCCATTTTCAAAAATAAATACAGTTTTAGAGGTTTGTTGACCTACAGACAACCAGACAGAATCAATGAATTTTCTTCAAGGACACACAACAAAATAGCAGGAGAAATAAGGTGTTCCAAGCTTAAGACTGGAAATTTTCACCTTAAACTCTTTGCTGATACATCTTTAATATCCATACTATATGAAGTTTAGCATGCAACTGAAATATAAAGTAGCACTATTGGGGAAGAAACAGTTTCATAGTTCTATAATCAATTGCAAACATTCATAACTTTCATCGTAATCAAATACATTAAAAAATGGCAGAGTAATCCATTGACTGTCCAAGTTCATTTCCTTTTGGGTGGGCATTTTTCCTTGTTACCAAGGGAAAAGGATCAGTCCTTAAATACTCAAAGTCTAAGACTGACACTAACCAGTGAATATGCATTATAGATAGAAGTAAAGTAACTGTATAACATCAAGAAACACTACTTGAGTGATTTACTGAAGATAGGGCTTGTATTCCTATGACTATTACTTGAAAGAGCTTCAAAATTATCTGAGATTGAAATAGATTTTACAACTTGTTGAAAAAGTAGAACCTGTAAAAAAGGTTCAGAAAAAAATTATTTGCTTTTTAGTCGTACTACATTTATTGCCGTCCAAATCTGTAGCATTGTAAAAAAAATAAAAAATAAAACCAAACAAAATCCACCCAAATGTCCTAGGAAATGAAGTGTACAAACATAGACTAATCAATATTTATTTACAAGAACACATCATAACAAGTTAATCTAAAGCTGCTCAATTTAAAAATTTATACTTGCAAAAGAGCAAAGATGACTATGCAAGTAATGACCCAAGAGTATCCACTCATTAATTATTATTCCTAGTTTTACTCCAACAGCTAAAGTAGGAAAGACTAGAGTTCTTTAAATAAGGCATCCATGCTAACTGCTTCAATTTGCTTTCCTATTCACAATCAAAATTAAAATATATGAGACACTCTCTGAAATATGATGAATCATGAACTTGGTTTAATATTTAAAATAAAAACTCCCTGGTGACAAACTGCTTGGTATATTTCAGAACTAGAAAACTAAGTCGAAAAAGCAGCATTTGTAATATATCCTTGCAATAATTTATTTTCTGCTTAATTTAAATGATATTGTAATGTCGCTTGGCCGGGGAATCTGTCAAATACTTCCTGATTTCACTGAAATTATTCACCAAATAGGAAGGCTGAAAAAGTATCTTGATATTCCTTTTACATGTAATTAATTTGTTGCAAATCATAGAATCATAGAATCATAGAATCATAGAATATCCTGAGTTGGAAGGGACCCTTAAGGATCATCAAGTCCAACTCTTGACACCGCACAGGTCTACCCAAAAGTTCAGACCATGTGACTAAGTGCACAGTCCAATCTCTTCTTAAATTCAGTCAGGCTCGGTGCAGTGACCACTTCCCTGGGGAGCCTGTTCCAGTGTGCAACTACTCTCTCTGTGAAGAACCCCTTCCTGATGTCCAGCCTAAACTTCCCCTGCCTCAGCTTAACTCCATTCCCGCGGGTCCTGCCGCTGGTGTTAATGGAGAAAAGGTCTCCTGCCTCTCGACACCCCCTTACGAGGAAGTTGTAGACTGCGATGAGGTCTCCCCTCAGCCTCCTCTTCTCCAGGCTGAACAGGCCCAGTGCCCTCAGCCGTTCCTCATACGTCTTCCCCTCCAGGCCTTTCACCATCTTCGTAGCCCTCCTCTGGACACTCTCCAACAGTTTCATGTCCTTTTTATACTGTGGTGCCCAGAACTGCACACAGTACTCGAGGTGAGGCCGCACCAGCGCAGAGTAGAGCGGGACAATCACCTCCCTTGACCTACTAGCGATGCCATGCTTGATGCACCCCAGGACACGGTTGGCCCTCCTGGCTGCCAGGGCACACTGCCGGCTCATATTCAACTTGCTGTCTACCACGACCCCCAGATCCCTCTCTTCTAGGCTGCTCTCCAGCGTCTCATCGCCCAGTCTGTACGTGCAGCCAGGGTTTCCCCGTCCCAGGTGCAGGACCCGGCACTTGCTCTTATTGAACTTCATGCAGTTGGCGATCGCCCAGCTCTCCAACCTATCCAGATCCCTCTGCAAGGCCTTTCCACCCTCATTCGAGTCCACAACTCCTCCAAGTTTGGTGTCATCAGCAAACTTGCTCAAAATGCCTTCTATTCCTACATCCAGATCGTTTATAAAAATATTGAAAAGTACCGGCCCTAAAATGGAGCCTTGAGGGACCCCACTAGTGACCGCCCGCCAGCCTGACGCAGCGCCATTCACCATAACCCTTTGGGCCCTGCCCGTTAGCCAATTGCTCACCCATCGTATGATGTTTTTATTTAGCTGTATGCTGGACATTTTGTCCAGTAGGATCCTATGGGAAACCGTGTCAAAAGCCTTGCTGAAGTCCAAAAAAATCACATCAGCTGGTTTCCCTTGGTCCACCATACGGGTGATCTTATCATAAAAGGAAATCAGGTTAGTTAGGCAGGATCTACCCTTCACAAACCCATGCTGGCTGGGACCAATGACTGCTTTGTCCCCCAGGTGCGCCTCAATACGTTCGAGAACCATCTTCTCCATGATTTTACCAGGCACTGACGTGAGACTGACAGGCCTGTAATTGCTAGGGTCTTCTTTCTGACCCTTCTCACAGTCTGAACAGACCTGGTTGGCTGCATTTTTTCATAAAAAGTGTCTAATAAGTGCATAAGTGCAAACAGAATGATCACCACTGCCAGTTTTTAACTTTTATGAGAACAATTCCACTTTTCTCCCCACACACTTGTTTCCATTGATCCTTACTTCTACATCCCATTATGCAGCAAAAATTAGCTGTTAAGGGGGCAATGCTTTACTACAAGCACTGGGGACCAAAACCATGATGAACTACCACTACGAACTGAAAGAATCTATCAGAAGAATGATGGGCTTAATACTCCATT